CCAATGTAAAAAAAAACTAAACAAACGGCGTTCCCCTTTAATGCATTATGCTCCTGAATTAACTGATGAATCTGCGAACGTTTGCACGTTTTAGGTAATGCTACGACAAGAAAATTGGCTGCTCAGTCTATAAGTCAAGCTCTACTATAAACTAGTATTCTTTATAGCATAGCATAGCATTAAACGTAACAGAATCCGCATGTTCATCTCTAAAATTAGGACAAAAGCAGTGAAGTTAAAAGGTAAAACGTCTGTGTTTTACACTGTGTTATTTATTCATTTGGATATAACCTGATGCTGGTAAGTCATTTTATATATACTTTAAAAACAGAGCAAATGTTTGTGTCTGTAAAAGTCTGTGAATTTTCATATGGAGAACAGATGAAAAGATAAGTGATCTAGACGTTCCAACGTTATGGAGCAACCGGTTTATGACCCACCTTGCCGGCTCTTATCTTACTCCAGTGTTTGTATTGATCTGTGGTGCCTTAGTAACCTGTTGCAACTGAATGTATAACTAACAATGAAATGGCTCCAAGGGATGAATCATTACAAACTACCCCTGGGTACACGGCAGACAAGGAAACTGCAAATATTTGAGAATAATTATATTACTTGAGGTCTTCCGACAGTTTCCTGAGTTCTTTGTTTGCAAATGTGTTGTTGTGCAATTCCTGGTTTACCTTCAGATTCCTTCATGGTTATTCAACTAAGTTTGTGTCTTTTTAATACTGGTAATTCTTTAAATAAGAGAAGAATATGTAATTATTTTCCTTAAAATCAGATTTTGAATGACGGGCGATAGAATAGAACTGGAATCAATTATTTTGCTGAAAGTATATTACTAATATTGATCTAAAGCAGAGGTGTAATTTTGTCAGGGTGCTGCACTGTCAGAGCTGAGGTGCCTTTGAAAGGTGAAAGCAGTTAAATGTGGTCTTCCAGTTGAATTAAACCAGTCTGCATCATTTCATGGAGGGAACAGCTGCTGTCACTGTTAGATCCACCAGCTGCTCACATCACTGAAGCATAGTAGGCATCGCCTCGGGGAAGACCTGAGAGCTGAGTTGAATGTTTATTATGAGTGAACATTGGTATATTTTTTTCTCTTCTCCCTCCTCCCCTTCTAGCTCTACCCTCATCCCACAAACACTTGTCACTTTTGTGGGTCTGTCGCAGCCTGGTCGCTTTACGGCTATAGTGGGTCTATATTCAGTTGATCATAAGCTGCAATATCATCCATCATGTGACTGAATTATTATATCAAGGATGGGTGATTCCAATTCACTCCACTGCCAGCAGCCATTTCCGTGCTCCAATATCAATTTGCATAGAAAATGGAGCCACGGCATTACCACCAAGCCTGGATCTCATCGCACTCTAGGAGTCATTTGCCTGGAAGTCCATGCAGAGATAAAGAATATCTGTCCACTTACACTGTTTCTATTACATAGCAATATCTGGTGCTGCCATTACTCATTGCCTGTGATGTGTCAGAGCAATGTGTGGAAGAGCTGTATATTCCAGCGATGCAATGCTCAGCTCTGGGGCTGAGCTATGATTTCTTCATTTTATTCAAATCCTCAACAGCAAAAGATGGAGATGCAATTTACTTGACTGTCGTAGCAAAACATTCCCCCCATTTGAAGGCAAATATCTTGAAGCATTTGTTTTATTTGTTGTTGTCGATTTTTGAATTTAATAGCCAGGAAATAACAAGATGACTATCTTCTGGCAATCCCCCCCTGACATTTCCTCTTACTTTCCTTTTTCTTTTAGGCTGCTGAACAACAAAGTGCCGATGAAGATGTAAGTATCCTCGAGTCCCTTTCACCAACTTGTTGCTTTTCTGTCTCCTTTTTCATTTTCTGTTGCAACAATTGGTATGTAGATACCAGCACGCACGACTCTGGGATCCTGTTTTATTTTCTACAACTTCTCCTTGGGATCATGATAAGCCCCAGTATCTCTTCTGTTTGTCTCTTATCTTAGATGTAGTAGACAGACAGACGTCATTAAACTGAAGTGGAAAAACCGTCTCAAACATGATGTCCTAAAAGGTGTGGTGGTGTTGTTTTTTTTAGGACTTCGCCAAGGACCGATATGGCTTGCCTGCTATGGTGCAATCCCAGGAGAAACTCGGTTTGTATTGAGAGCTACTTTGACTCACCAGAACATCTCAACACTCGCCCTTAACAGATAAAAAAATAAAATAATGAATCATCAAAATGAAAATCTGTCAAGTTAATAGTCTGATGAAACCCCAACATTGTGTTATCTATTTGTCTGTGAAGATTAGGTATGTTTTTTTGTTTCGAATCTAATCTTTGTTTGTCTTCAGCTACATCAGCAGGGGTTTGTTGTTCTTAGCGACACATAATGAACTTAGTTTACTGACAAGTTTCTAATGCTTGCAGTAAAAATCATACATAAAATTACTACAGTTCTTACGGGTTTGTTTTCTTTTGATGAAGGTTAGATGGATTTGACAGAAATCTGCAGAAATTCATGCTCTTGTAACCTTTCCACAATTATCAGGAACGTAAATATGTTTTATATGATTGATCAAATTTATTATTATTTTTGGAGTGGAGGAAATATATAGTTTTCAAGATTTTATTGCAAACAAAAATATGAGCAGCATTTGCAATGAGAACCCTTCACTCCATTGCTCCTAATTGGGGCAATAAGGGGCGTCAGGGTAACCAACTTGCTTTGGAGTTCATCTAAGTATTTGTAAACCTTAATTTGATCTCTGCATAAATACAACTGTACTGTGAGGGAGTCAAATTTGTTGAAATATATTAATGAACAAACAAAACCAAAAACATCAAACAAAATTGCAAATATATCAGGATGAGATAGAATTAGGTTCGAAAATAGTATTCTACATGTTATCACCTCTGGGAGCACAGTTTAACCAATCCTTAAAAAAATGGGAGAAATGTACACTTCCTATAGGGCTGGTTATACTCCCGCAGCAGTGTGTCGCAGTGAGCTTGTTGCAGATATTTTTGATTTGTGCCCAATATCAAAGCGTGGTCTGCGCCATGTTATTCCACGGCACAACGCAAGAGGGACAATCATGCACTAGCTGTGGGTCTAGATACGAGGCGGTAAGGAAGGTGGTGCGACAACGGAGGGACATGAGGGCGAAATAGAACGGGGATCCAGGTGGGAAAAGGGTCCCAGCGTTCTCACGCATCTTGCTCTTCTAGTTGGTCCAACTTCACGAGTCGTTTCGCATAATGGCGGTCATACAAATAAAACAAGCCTGTAAGGTACCAAACAGGGAATACGGATAGTGTAGAGCGGATGTATAATTGACCAATCAGAGGCCTCCTGTCTGCAGCACTGTCTGGAGAGGTGCACCAGAGTTTATGCGGAAGGGGCGGGGGCTTACGTTCACTGCAACACACACAGACGACCTGGTTTCTGAGTATAAATCAGCCTTAAGACTGGGTTCTCCATCTGTGGCAGACACAGAACTAAACGGCTATTTTTGGGACGCTTTTCTTAAAGGGACAGAGTCACGTTTATATGGCATTAAAAAAAAAGACAAAAAACTATTTAATGAAATAAGTTTAAATATCTTCAAATAATGTTCCATTGCTTTTGATATTGCTTTCTGAGCCAAACTAGATTTTCATTAGCGGTCAAGATGAGCAGATATAAACAGACAGGTGTGCCATCTGTCGGTAATCAGAAAGTATTGGTGACAATTGAAGCAGCTACAACATAAAGGCTGACCAAGTCCTGCAATGCCTCTGGATAAAGCAACAGCCAGCAGTGCTCACAGGCCAACTGATAAGAGTTAAATAAAACCAATCTGCAACTCTCCATTTCTAGTCAGTCATCCTCAGAGTCTCCAAACTTAAAGGGAAAAGAAAATTGTTGTTCCTATCAAATGCAAAAAAGGTAAGAAATATTTAAATTTAAGAAATGATTAAAAGTTATGGGCTAAAACCTCCTCATTGGAATTAAGCATGTTAAAATAGCAGTAAGTGCATTACTGATGAGCCCTGAATTGAATTGATCTTTATGAATTCTACCAAAAGTCACAGACATAATGAATACTGATGCAAGTAGCTTTATTTGAACGTTTTATTTGAACATACCATAAACACCCTGATATGTCACAAGCATGGGCTCATGCTTCTCCTCTGCGTTCTCATGCTTTTTATGGATCTTTAGATGAGCTAATTCTCATGTGTGGACATGTGTCTATGTGCTCATGTCAACCTCTGTCCCTTTGATGGTGAAATCAACCTGAGGAAGTAACATTTGAGACCGGCTACTTTTTAGGAATTTCTGTCTTTTCAGACATTACCGTTTTCTTCCTACTTGTGGCTATTAACGTTAGCAAAGTATCTTAAGGCTAATAGATGTTCTCTTAGAGAGTTAAAAATTGGTTAAGTGAAGTTGTTATTGGATAAATTTGTTAAAACAGTCGTGAAAGTGTTCTGATAGCAGAAGCAATATGCTTTAAAATGATTCATGTTAAATCTGGACCTACAAATGAGCTAAGCTAATGTTAGCTTCACTTTTTATATAGAGTGATCAGTTAATCTTTGATCGATCGGTCTATCCGCTTTATAATGTGGTAGTTAGACGGAAGAGGTTAAGAACAGTTGCTATCACTAGTATCTGTATGAATAAGGCTGTTTACTCAGGCATCAATCAACTCCACATTCACATCTGAATGTCTCTTAGCTTTAATTCAAGCTTCAGTGAACACCAACGTTTGTATGAATTAAAAAAATGTCATACAGCATGACTATGTCCCTTTAAAAGTAATTGGGGCTGTTCTAAAAAAAAAAATACAATAGATCTGAAACTGTTGCAACGGTTCAGTAGTAACAAAAACAAAACAAAATTAAACATCCAGCCGGTGCAACAGTCGGATACTTCAGATGAAAGTATCTGAAAGCCTTGGCTCGAAGGTTAGAAAATTTCTTGAATCAAATCCAACTGTGCTCACGTACATGCCAGTCCTTTCAGATATTCATTGGTTAAAAAAAGCGAAAAAAACATGCCTTATAACCATTCCACTTATTAGTACTATTATGGTTTCCCAATAAATTACATTTACTTTTGAAGATGTTAGTTTGCTAAATATGAAAACACTTAAAGTTGCATTTTTTTTACAAGGCCTTTCATTAATTTGGGTTTAAGTTGAACAGCCGTCGGTTACCATGTTGCCATAGCAAAGTTTCGCATTGTTTTGTTTTTATTACAAAGACACAAGGAAATTGCGAGTCATTGCTCTACACTAACAAGTATTTCATACATACTTGTTGTAAAATATCGGTTGTGCAGGCGTTTGTGCACGTAGTGAAAGTGCACAACCGGTTTTCGTACAGAAAGTGGTGGAGCAGCGTAGCAGTAGTTGATTCTGCATAAACAGGTTTGAGATAAGCATCATGGAGGAAGGCCTTGGAGTCACCTCTGGTGGCAACTTCGCTGATACAAATGATAGTTCCTCAAACTTTCTGCGTTTGGGAACTCCGTTAATGAGCAAAGCAGCAGACAGACCTGTTGCCGTCGTCCATCTGTCTGCCAGTTCTTTCAGCATCAGTGACAGCAGACAAAGTGGGGCCTCCCTCACCTGCATGCCGAGTTCAGCCATAGGGACGAAGCGGGTGGGGGACAGGGAAGTCTTTCATGTGAGTTGAAGGAGAGTTTTCAGCCAAAGGGGCAGCTTTACCCCTTTACCTCTAGTTCTTCTGCTCTGCTTGCTGATTATCAACAGTAAGCATGCCTCAGAGTGATACAAGTGAAACTAGAGTCAATTTGTCATAAAGCCCAGGGAGAATAGCCAAATTTTAGACAGCTTTCAGCAGCTCTTCTACTGTGTCTTATTTATTAGACATGCCTGTAATTTGAGCTCTCTTACTGCCTGTCTCTCCACAAGCACATGCACGCTTTTTCACACTTTTTTTTTTTTAGCTTATGGGAGTATAAAGGATTGTCAAGGGAGATTTTTAGCTCAGAAGTGGGTGGAAATTGAGACAGGGAAAGTTCTTTGAAGTAACGAAACATTTGTATGTCTGTCTGTGTGTCTGTTTGATCCAGACAGGGCGTTGGTCCGAGTCCAAGACCTGACTCCAGAGAAAGCTGACCAGCTGATCTGGTTGCGTGCCCGTGTCCACACCAGCCGAGCCAAAGGTGAGATCACTCCTTTGCCTTCGAGTGCTTTGTTCACCTTTCTAGCGTAGTACACAAAGAGCCATGCTGAGATGCCCCCCCTGAGTTTATCCCCGGTGTCCTAAAGTCTGCAGACTAAATCATCTGCCCCTGAGCCATTCTTCTGCAAAGCTCTACTTTTAGTTCAAGATCAAACAGCAGAGGCAGCCAACAGTGATGTGGAGTACTTAGATTTCTTATGACCTCAATGAGTGATATCATTCTTCTTAGTTTTAATACTTAAGTTTACCACATACTGTCATCTATATCTTACAAAAAATAAACCATGCTCTTTGAAGTTTTTTGTTTTAGATTTTTCAGGTAACAACCACAATCTTCAATATATTTCATTGTATTTTATGTAATAAACAAAGTAAAGCCAAGATATAGAGTGTAAAATAGATGCTATATGATATTGGAAATGTTTAGTAAATGAAAATCCAAAAAGGGGGTCCTCATTTCTATTCAGCCCTCCTGAATGGATACTTGTTGCAATCGAAGTTGCAGGTTTTTTGGCTTATATCTCTAAAAACTGCACATCTGGAGGCTAAACCCTTTGCTAAATCTTCTTTGCAAAATAGCTCCAATCTTTTCTGACTCGATGGAGCTGGTATGTGTGCAATAACACTCAAGTCTTGAACAAATAGTTGAATAGTTTGACTTTGTCTGGGCCAATCAAACACATAAATATGCTTCGATTTAAATCGTTCCTCTGAAGCTCTGGATGTAATTTTAGGATTACCATCCTGCTGCAAAGTTAATTTCACCTCTCCTGCAGCCCCCAGCAGAGTTTCTCACAACCCAAAGGAAAACATTCTCACAGCATGATGCTTTTACAACCAGGAAGTTCAGTTTAGGTCTCATCTGACCCAAACACTTTGCACAGTTTTGCTTTGTTCGATATGTGGCTTGTGGAAATCTGCAAATGGTTTTCCTTCAAAAATGGCTTTCTTCTTGCCGTTCATCCCCAAAGGCCAGATTAGTGCATTACATGAATGTTAGTTAACATATTTTCTTATCTGTTAAGTTCCTCTGCAACTCCTCCAGAGTTTAATGGGCCTCTTGGCTGCATCTCTTATTAATGCTTCCTAAGCCTGGACCTGTCAGTTTAGATGGACAGCCATTTTTTCAGAGGTTCTCAGTTTTGCTTTACCAGGGATGAAAGCAGTTTGCCTGTACAATAAAAAAAAAAATAAATCAAATGAGCTCATACTGTATTCTAAGGCTCTTCCTGCATTTTAAAAGATTATTTTTTATGTAGACGAACACCAATATAACCTTGATATAACGGCTGAGTTGCACTTTTGTTCTTGAAATTTAGAGCTTTTAGCTTCTCATTTTAGATTGGTCTAGAATAAGAATAATTATTAAGATGAATATTTGGAGCCAGCTAATATACATTATTAATTCAAAATGAAAATATGCAGACATTCTTCATTTTCAGCACTTATTTTTCACAATTCCTGCAATTTTACCTTTTTTATCCTGTGATGAAATATTTAACAGAAAATGTGCTATCAATTCATTTGCACCTTTTACAGTGAAAAGCCTTTATTGGCATTATGGCAGTGAAACCTGCTGGTGTAACACCTATTTGTTTTTGCACAAAGAAACATATTAAAAGAATAAAACTCTTATTTAACACATTTTTTGAACCACCTCATTGGGGTTTAATTCTACAAATTGCACAGATAACCTCAAAGACTGACTTATAATGTCATGCCAATTTACAACTTTATTCAAATAAACATGAACTAAAATATTAAAAGACATATGAAAGTAAAAGGCACCATTTATATCCTAATTGGATCAATAGAAATTGGTTGAAATGTTTTTGAAAAGATGTTTATGGAGAACCTTTTTTTTATGGTGCTTTAAATAAAACTCTGATTTAGAAGCCAAACCCTATTTTACATGAGGGTGTGAACAAGTTTCAAGAAGTGTGAATAAAAGTCTCAGAATTTGAATAAAAGTTTTGCTTACAATGCTCCCCTTTTCCCACTCTCTCCTTGTGAAACAGTTTGACAGTCTGGGGGTGTTTTCTAATATCATTCTCAGACTAGCTTATCACTGCCAGCAGGTAGATCAGATAACTCAGTTCCAGCAGTTTTGGCAGCCGTGAGGTTTTTTTGAATTTGAATACAATGAACAGCCTGAGCTTTGCCTGCCTGTTGCACCTCTCAATAAAACAACTCACCTTTCTTCTGCTAGGGTAAAACTCCAACTACAAACAAACCAATGATTGTATTTTTGCTGTTTCCTTTCAAGATAACTTCCAGGGTCAAGAGTGGCTTCCTATCCACTCGGGTTTTCATTCTCCATGCTCGCTGTAGGATGTCCTTGTGAACAGAACAACATCCTGATTCAGTGTGGGATGAGGTTTATTTGTTGGTGGGATTTTAGCATTGCTGCCATCCCCACCATCCACCTCTTTCTCTCAGTTAGTGCACATCAAAGAGTCTGGGTGGTCCACCTATCTGCTGACCTGAGTCTTTGTTAGCTGGCTTGTTTACACTCTTCCTAGGTGTGCGTGTTTAAATCGAAGGTAGCAATCACACTTTCCCCACTAAGTGCTCTTTAAACACAATGCTTTGTTCACAAATGTTTGACCCTCTGCAGCTGTGTGGTGCAGTGTTTTCTTTCATTGAGCAAACCAACTCTGTGTCCATCTTAGTTTTTTTTTTTTTTTTTTTGGTTGTGTGTGTCTGATAAGTATGGTCAGCCTGTATCACCTATTGTTGCTTTGCTTTGCAGGGAAGCAATGCTTCTTGGTCTTGCGTCAACAGCAGTTCAACGTGCAAGCACTGGTCGCAGTGGGAGATCGTGCCAGCAAGCAGATGGTCAAGTTTGCTGCAAAGTGAGTACCGCCACTGTTTTTCCTGTCGGAGTCGGTGCAGACAATGGTGGGAAAATCCTGGGCCCTAATCGTCCGCTCGTCCATTTTCACACATTCTAAACCACGAGAGGAGGGTGGGGGGGTGGGCCAATCAATCATTTTTCACATGACAGCTGTAGCTGGCTTTTAACAGGGTTCGAATACAACACAGTTTTTAATGGAGAGCTTCCTGTTAAGATGGCAGATACTGCGGTGTGGATCAGAAAAGGAGCCACACTTAAGTGCAAAACATCATTAGTCATTTTAACAGCTAAATTGTTGCCCATTACGGCTAGTCTATGAATGAAAGCAATTTAGGGAGGATAGAGGAAGGGATACAATAATGCAGCCTCAGGCTCATATTAGAGGTTCACATGGGAGCTTAATTATGGACTAACTCTAATGGGAGCTTAAATTTACATAGAAAAATGCTGTATGATGAAATTTATGCACATATGCTGTAATGCGCACTGATTTCACAACAAGCATTTGTTTTACACCCAGTATTTAGAGAATATAACATGTGAGACCTTAATTATAATATGCCACGTAAACGACTTCTCTGGATGTTACTAAATTAGTCCGATGGTAACACCCACAGCTGTAATCAACCACATGAAAAAGGCAGTTAATACTCAGCTTAGGCAATTCAGATATTGCCCTAACAAACACCGTTTGAGATGTGGACATAACCCAGGGCTCAAGAAGGCCTCTCCAGCTTTGTATGCTGTGTCCATATTCACAGGAAGCGATACAAAGAGTTGAAAGTGAATAACCTGACTAAAGGCCATTAGCCAGACAGTACAAACAGAGGAATGCCAGGCCTGTTTAAAGAACATGTCAGGCTCTGAACTGTTTCAGACAGTTACCTCATAAGCTCAGCAGGTTCTGACATCTTCATTCTGATCTGAGCCTGTCTTCCTTTTGGTCTCTGATTTTTAAATGAGTGAAATGATGTCTGAGGATATCATGATACCATAATTGAATTAACTGCGTGTTCAAACTATGATTCCATCAACATGCTCCGTTTTCTCAATGTAGACTCTGTGGCTAATAAAAGGATTAACTGTGATTATTCAAGTATTAAAATAAACTAATTTAGTAATTAACTTGGTGTTATCTGGACTGAACAAACACTAAAAACGAACAACTCTCAGCATGAATTAGGCAGAAACAGTCAGAAATATATACTGTATAGTAAACCTTGAAAACCCCTGTTCTGTCACTCTATACATAAGTGGTGTGTCCGTGCTTTAGCCAATTATTAGTAATTAAAAATGTGCAAGAAATGTTTTACATTTTACAAAAGTTAAACATTTTACTACGTTTATTAATATATTTAGAGTATCTCTTTTTATCTTAAATAATCAAAGAAAAGAATATCTAGATTGTTCAATTGCATATTAATCAGTAGCCACAGCCCTACTATGCGATAATGATAACAGAGCATTGCTCTATAAACATCTGCAAAAGACAATTAAGGCTTACATAAAGCTCAGTTTAAACAGAAAGAAGCACTTATTGACAAATCAAAAAAATTTATTAACAGTGGCTAGTATGCTTTTTTTTTTATCTCAAAGCACGAATGCTAAATTTACTAATGAATTGGGAAATGTATGCATCTGTCATACCAGTACAAGAAAAAGGAAAAAAAGCTAATATGGGTTGAGGTATTGCTCTACCATTAGTTTATATGAGAGAGCAGGTAACTAAGAACAAAGCAAATTCTACATTATCATATATATATAACAATCTTTATGTTGTTTCTTTACATTAACATTCAAAACTTTTTTCTGTGAGTATGATATGAGTATGCACCATAAATGTCACAGCATACAGACCTCTGATTAAATTGTGTGTTATAAAAACACGAGACTCGGATAAATAATTTCACAACTTTGTGCACCTTTATTTTGACACATTACTTTTATCTTGTTAAAGTTTCAATCAGTCGTCTTAGAAAGATAAAGTAAAACATTGAAAAGGCCTGGCTGTAAAGCTACACACAAACTAATATAAGGATTTCTTTTTTTAGGCATCTTTTAAATCCTGTCTAAGAATTAGTCATTATAAAGACATTATTCTATTTTCCTCATAAAACTTAAAACTTTTGAATTAATCTCTGGCCTACAACCCTCCGTACATCATCAAAAAAATTTTTTTTTAATGTAAGACTTTAGATAATCAATGCAAAAACTTGAATCTTTGCAGAATAACACTTTTTGTTTTACATTTTCTTACTGTTTTGCTAGAGAATGAATCTGTCTTCGGCCTTCCTGCAATAATCTGAGGGTTTGGGATCATGCTCGTTGTTTTAACAGTTTCTATGTTCATCTACTTTGACAAAGAAGTTCAAATAATTCAGTAAATGCATCTTACTGTGTGCTGCTTTTCAGCAAGCAGAGATATTAACAGTTAAGCAAAATACCCGTATTTGTTGAAAATAATTTTATGTCAAATGAAAAAAATCAAAAAAGTAAGAAGACAAAGTGTCAATTTTGCACCAATACTTACTCAATTATTCTTTCCCTCATTTGGCTGCTCAAATGCATCTGTCATGATTTTCAAATTCATGTTTTGTAATTAAGACTTAAGGATTCTCTTTATATTGCTTCTTTTCACTATGTTGAGATCCTTTGTTTGAGATTGGGATGAGCCTAATGATGTTCAGACTGAAGTGTTGGCAATGTTACAGACTCCAAATGGGTTTACAGTTCCTCCTGAGAAGAACCTCTCTGCTCTGCACTGAGCCACACTGTAGGACTAGTGACTCGGCAAAATAGTTTGACATTTACCAGGGATTGCCCTTCATCATGAAGCTGGTCTTCTTGTTGTTGATTGTGTTTAATCATAGAAACTAATCTCTGAAGAGACTAGAAGTCCTAAGGGATCAACTCTCTTTCTCTTCTGGCTGTAAAAGTAATTAATCTTTTAGCATAAAACATAACAATTTCTCTAACCCTATCTTTTGTGATTTTACTGACACAAACAAATACGTGTAAGAAAATGTAGTATAATATTATATAATAATAATTGAACTTTATTGGTCTCACAGTGGGTAAATTTACCTCTGCATTTATCCGTTCCCTTAGGGGAGCAGTGGGCTGCCATTGTGTGGCGCCCGGGGAGTGTGGGGTTAAAGGTCTTGCTCAGGAACCCAAAGTGGAGGCTGTGGGGATCAAAATGGGTACTTGCAACCTCCTCAGAGCACATGCGCACTGCTCTAACTATTGGGCCAACACTCCCCTATGAGATTAAGTATGAGATAAAGCCCAGGTTGCAGGCTTAAAAATACTTTAAGCAAGTTAATGACAGTAAGGGTTGGTTATGGCAGACATCTAAAAGATAACTAAAGATAAATTACAGAAAACGTATGAAAGTTAAGCAGTCCCCCTTTTGAAGTCGAAAAGCCTATTTTTTTCTAAGCACGTATTTAGATGTTTTTATGCAACTTTGTTTTTATATATGTCATGGTTCCTCAATCTAGTTCTGTAATGTTTGTGGTACAACGGTTGGCTTGCGTTGCAAAACTTTGCACCTAGCAACAGAGCAAGTGAAAGTGATGACGCTGTTGTCAAAACATATATTTTTTTTTTTTTACACAACAACCAGAGTTTCTGCTTCTCAAAACACAACTGGTGGGTTTCTACCCCACATCTAGTTTCACACTCTGTGGTGTGATGATTGACACGCCGAGTAGGAAGGCGGATTACAGGGAAATCCTCTCATAATCATAGCGGGGGCAAAGGTAGCATCATAATGGAAAGTCGCCTTTCATTTATCCCATGTCCAAGACGCCCCCTCCTCACACACAGTTTAATTAAGATCTCATAAAGCTGGGGAACTTTTACTCTGCCGCAGAGCAGAAGACCTGAATGTCAAGTCCCCAATATCGCTGACTTTCTTTTATGGCAAAAATCCACTCTAACCTAAACAACCTTTTGTTGAGCACCTTTATGAAATAAAATAAATGTATAAATGAAAAACTAAGGTTTGTTACTATGTCACATATCTAACATTTAGAGACTGTATGTCCGTCCATCATTTAATCTGAAATGCATGCAAATATAAATCATCCAATTATTAGACCCTTCTCTCTCTATTCATCCATAAGGTCCCCACCTCAAATAAGTTATTTTGCTCTTCCACTTATCTATCTGTTAATCATGTTTGAATGTAAATGCAGTTTTCAATTAATTATTTCCTTTAACATTGTGAAGCTCTAGTTTGAACCTTCTTAAGATCCAATTGTGCAAAATGCAAATTCTTGCAATTTTTTGACTGGTCTTAAGATTTTGATCAGGATTGAATCTACTGATTCAAGACATGTTCAAGGACGTTTCAGGGAAAAGAGGGAAAGCTTGACTTCCCTCCATTTTGTTCTCAAGACATTCCCCGGCAAAGAAATATGCATTTTCCCTCCAATAAATTCAGGGTTTATACTGGGAAATGTGCCTTAGCTGAAGCTTACCAAAGAGATCTTGGTCAGATGTGTGAACCACCCTGACTCTCTTTGATTTGGAAAAGCAGGAGCTACCTTCTAAGCTTTGTCCTTCACTCTAACTCTTAGGGTTTGCTATGCAGAAGAAATCATTTGAACTTCCTGTATTCGTGATATGGTTATTAATGCAATGCCCGGTGTCTCCTGACCATTGGTAAGGGTGTTAAAATGCAGGCAGAGCTTCACTTGTAGGCTTTTTTAAAAAAAAAACCATGATAAAAATTGAAATCCAGTTGAGGCAAAGCCTAACCTCCGACTATCGGGGACCAGACCCCTCTGTGTCCTGTCAAAAATATCGAATTAAATTTATTTTCATTAGAATTTTAAAAAGCGATTGGAGACAACCCAGAAGTATTTAACCCATGTCTTGTTCAGTTTTGGAGCAGGGAGCTGGATCTCACCACCTTGTGTTTTCTTGGCTCATTTCCTCAAGTCCATCTCCCCTTTCCGATTTATGTCATCTCTCTGCCATTTTGTCAAATTCCTGTCAGTTTCATGCCGTTTATCCCCAGTGTCTTAGGGAGCAAGCTGAGATGGTCATTAATGTGGTGGATTTATTTATTTTGATGATCTCGACCTGAATGGGGAGGACTAAGGTAGCAGCTGTTGCGGGGCTGAGTGGACAGCAGTGCCCCAGTGTTGAGTCCCCTATTACTGCTTTTTAATGAGGAGGAGTGACGGATTGCAGCAGGCCTCCCATCTGGCCCGGCGCAGTTTGGCAAGTGGGGGTGTTGCTCTTTTCTAACACGGTACACTGAGTTTCCACCAGCTTGAATTTAGTGACCGTTCATTGTTATTGAAAGGAACAAAGACTAAAGGATAAAAATAAAAAAGACAGCCCGCCTTCATATTTACTTTCATTTTAATGTATGTGTTTGACATGATTACAAAAGGAAACAAAACCAAAGGGGGGGGGGGGGGTTTCTATAGCTGTGGCCCACGGCCTAAAAAAGTTACTCAATATCCATCCCTTATGTTTTAGTTTTGATTTATCCTAATTCTTAACCATTTGCTTTTGTTTTACAAAAGAGAAACTCCACTATTATATCTACATTTAATTAGCATAGATTCTAATTACTATTACTATTACTAATATGTTAATTTAATGCAATATATGGATAAGTTTATGGAAAATAACATGAGTACATTGCTGTTCAGTTCTTGTAAGTGCAGCCGCCGTCTGTTGTAGAAAGTTCCAGTGCAACTCTGACGACCAGTTAAAGTTAGATATGCCAATCAGAATTAGGCAATATAAGCTCTTCCTTTTAACTTCTGGGAAATTTATAAAAAAATTTATGTCATTTTTGTAGTATCTGTGCTTAAGTTAGTTTCTATAATAAGTGCTGGTTATTTTAAATGGGGTAAATTGTAATTTGTTCAAGTATTATCTCTTTTGAGTAAATCAGTAGGGAATTAGGAGAATGTGCATCTAGGAGGGTTAATCAAAGAATAATCAAAGAGTTCATATATTTTCGTATTTCAGTTTAAAAAATTTCACATGTATTGTGTGTGTGAATTACAAATAAATTATTTTTTAGGTTTTTAACTTTGCTCATGTTATTATGTTTCACAGCTTAAGTAAACCCAATTTCTGGCCAATTATAATAAATACCAATAATCATTGGTGCTGTATTTGCATTTAATATTTGACTGGGTGCTTTTACATTGAGACATCCATTAGTGTGAAAGGAGAAGGCCCAGTCTGCTTTCAGTTTCTTGAAGCTTATCTGCATTGTTGGCTCAGCTGTCCCTCATCTTCTCCTTGACAGTAGCTCAAAGATTTTCTGTTCAGTTAAAATCAGTCCAGTTTAATGGCCAATATAGCAGAGCTACAATAGTGATTAAATAAGGTGTTGGTACTTCTGTCAGTGTGCCAGATTCCAAGTGCCACTGTTAAATACAATTGTCCACATTTAAAATGTTTTAAAAAGAAAATGGACCAAACAACCTTAGAAAATCTGTTTTTTCCCTCAAGAGTGGAAATTGCACATTTTGTTGCTGCCTGTTAATAGGAGCAAGGGGGAAAAAGACTAGTGTTTTTGGCATCTCAAACACCCCTTCACTTTTCAGCAAATGTCATAGCAGCAGTTGTATTCTTAGGAATGACTGGGGGAAAAAAAGAAGAAAAATCTCACCAAGTCAAAAAATCACTCACCCATACTCTCTCCTCCTTCCTTCACATGTGAAGTCACAGGTCAGAGTTTAACAGGAATGTGGCTTTGACGCAAGCAGAAAAGTCTGGTTTCTAAAGTGCAGTTTGTTGCTTTCACTCTGCAGCATCACAAAGGAAAGCATCGTGGACGTGGAGGCCGTGGTGAGGAAAGTGGAGCAGAAGATCGAGAGCTGTTCTCAGCAGGACGTTGAGCTCCACATCGAGAGGGTTAGCTCACCTGCACTGCATTTTCATGCACCTTTGGTGCCCTTCCAATTCAAATGAAAACACAAAGTTGTAGTTTTTTCCCTTCATGACAGCATAAAAGCATCCAGGCTCTTAGGCATTTACAGTTTGTTATTCAGGCAGATACACAGCTCCCCTCACAGGAACTATGCAGCTGTCCTTTGAGTATATAAAACATATTCAGGAAAGTTCCCTTAACATTTAACTGTGTTAAAACTCTTAAAAATTCTGGGTTAAGCATCTATGCAAGACGGGCTAGAAAAATCATTCTTTAAGCTAGGAGGCAAAGTGTTAAGATTCGACATTTTTTCACAAAATGTCTGAAAATATGAGGGAACAACAAACATGCATGTTTGTCAGCTGAGGAAAGCTTTTCTCAAAGGCAGGGGGGGTGGGGGGTTACTTCTTATCCGCTTTCACTTTGACATAGTGTGAGTCTGTAGGTCAGGTGCTTTCCATTTTCTGAATGCCTAATGTAAACATTTCAGCTTTGTTTCTCACATTTTATTGTACTGAGCTATGTTTGGTTGCGTTTGTTTTCTCCTCAGATTTTTGTCATCAGCCAGGCAGAGCCTCGTCTGCCCCTGCAGCTGGAGGACGCCGTTAGGCCGGATGGAGAGGGGGAGGAGGTGAGGGAGGCTTTAGCTGTATTGCAAACAAAAATGGCCAATAATTTAGTATCTTAGTCTCCAGATGTGTAGAGACCAACTGCAAAAAACTGAAATCCATCCAAAAGGTAGGAGAGGGAGGATGAAAGTCATGCTTTTTAGATCATGAGAAAAGTTTGGAAAATCATGCATCTTTTTTTCTATACTTAGTCGTTTTTGATTGTAAAAAAACAAAACAAAAAAAAACAGCAATTTAGATTACCTTGATAATTAGTTTCATTTTATCAAATGCTGTTTTTCAGAACCGTCACTCAGTGTTTGGTAATTCATCTGGATTCTGATTAAAACAGTCAAACTGTGATGCTGAGAGTCATGAAATAAAAAAAAACATTCCTTTCCCCAGTCACAGCCAACAGGTAATTACAGATTTTCAGACATTGAAGTTGTTGCTCAGAGCAAAAACACTCATCTAAATGTTGATCTATCATTATGATCCATCAGCTGCTCTGGTCTTTTTGTATAGAAAGCTGCAGCTTATCCCTGCTGATGTTGAGCAAAAGGTAATTGACACCTGGAATATGTCATCTTTTATATCCAGCATCAAATTACAGACGACAAATTTGTTGGTTGAGTTGTGTTAAAAGCCTTAAATAGATGAATGAATTATTTCTTTATTGCTGTGATCGACCAGTTAAGATAATTAAAACCTATAATTTAACAATATTGACTGGGGGGAAAAAAGTCTTTTTAAATGGAAACAACCTGCACCGCAATTTCTAGACACCACGTGTTTATAAATTTGTGCTACCTGATTTGATAAATGGAAACCGCTTATTTCTTTTTGTCTTTTCCTTTAGCTTTGCGTAATCTTTGTGGCTCATCCTGGGTCACTTGATACAATCTCTCTTTTGAGCCCAGCCCCAGATTCTATATTAGTTTTAGTTCTTGTGGCAGAGGTGATCATGAAAGGTTGAATTGCATCACAATGCCGTCTACTTCCCACAAGGTTGCCATGTTCTGTGGAAAAGAAACACACCACAGATTCTCTACTGTATTTATAAATGGGCTTAAAATGCTTTAAATGAATTCATCCTTTGTTCCAAACCATCCACTATGGGTGTTTTTTTTTTTTTTTGCCAAAAAGTTTCTTTTTGTTAATCGTGTGACCAAAGAACATTATTTCACCATAAGTCTCTGTTGAGTTTAGGAACCTTTACTTATTAAATATATGACAGAAAGTATTACTGATGGTCTGCTTTGAAGATTAGACAGTGAGCCATTTTCCATTTCTCATTTACAAATTATGAATATCTATACACATCTGAGTAAGTTGAATGACACATTCTCCCATCTTTTGCATTTTAAAGTGCAAAATGGGCATCTGTGAAGTCATTTTTCTACCCCAGGAAATGCCCCACAAAGTCATCACTGTTTGGAAGTTCTTGGTCATCAAACTGATCAACCTAAAAAATTAAAGCAAGAAAGGAGGGTGAAGTTGCTTTTATTTCACTAGAATTGGTGAGAATATTATAGATGGTACCTCTGATCTTTTTTTGTTTTTTTCTCCTCAACATGATTTTCTCCACACACAATTCTGGCAAACCATCTGGCACCTCCAGAGGGTTAAACAGTGCTTCGCTAACACTGTTTTCAGTGGGAGTGGGGATCTGCTGACCTTAAAAGAGGAAATTGTTGGACATTGGAAGGAATACTTTTAGGATGGTGGAAGAATAGGCCGGGTCCTTGGGGCTGGATTCCTTCACCACTCAGTCTGAAGTCACTGGGATGGGATAAAAACTCCTCTGTGGCAAGACTTTGTAGGGTGACGAGATCTGCCCCAAGTGCCTTATAGCCCTGGATGTTGTCCTGCTGTGTAGGCTTACACACCTCTTCGGCATTGTGTGGAGGTTCGGGATAATGCCTCTGGATTGGCAGACTGGGGTGCCAGTACACAACAAAGGGGACCAGAAGGTCTGTTCCAACTAATGGGGACCACATTTCTCAGCCTCCCTGGTAAGGCCTATGCCAGGATGCTGGAGAGCCCAGCTGATGTTCGAACCTTAAACTTCAGAAGGAGCGTTGGGGTTTTCATCCTGGCCATGAAAACCTTGATCAGCTATACACCGTCTGCAGGGTTCTCAAGGATTCATGGGAGTTTTCCCAAGCGGTCTACATGTGTTTTGTGGACCTTGAGAAATAATTTGACCGGGTGCCTCGTTGTGCCCTGAGGGGGGCACTTCAGAAATATGTAGTTGGGGGGCCCTTTGCTGGGGTTCTTCCTGTGTCTGTAGAAGCGAAGCAGGAGTTTAGTCTGCATTGCGGGCATTAGGTTAGACCGGTTAGCAGTGCCTATTTGGACTGCCCTCTGTCACAGGTCCTATTCATAACCTTTATGGACGGAATTTCCAGGCGCACCTGGAGGGGTTCTGGTTTGGGGACCGGCAGATCTTGTCTCTGCTTTTTGCAGATGATTTGGTTCTGTTGTGTATCTCCTTCCAAGACCTACAGCAAGCACCTAGGGGGTTAGCAGCTTAGTGAAAAGTGGACATGATGAGGATCAGCCCCTCCAGGTCTGAGCTCATGGTCCTTAATCTGAAAAAGGTGTCTTGTCCCCTTCAGGTTGTAGAGAGTTCCTGTCTCAATTGGAGCAGTTTAAGTATCTCAGGGTCCTGTGATACAAGTGAGGGGAGAATGGAGCAGGAGATTGATAGATGTATCGGGGCGGCTGATGCTATACTACAGATGCTGCACTGGTCTGCCCTGGTGAAGAGAGAGCTGAGCAAAAAAGACAAAGCTCTTGATTTCCTTTTCGATTTATGTTTCTACCCTAACCTATGGTCATGAAATCTGGTCATGACTGAAAGAACAACATACCAGATATAAGCAGCTGTAATAAGCTTTTTCTGCAAAGAGAATAGGGTAAGGAGCTATGTCATTTTGGAGAAGCTCAGAATAGAGCCGTTTCTCCTCCATGATGCGAGGAGTCAGTTAAGCTCGCCTGGACATCTTTTTGGGATGCTTACCTGGACACCTCCCTTGGGAGGTTTTCAAGGCATGTCCCATTAGGATGCGGCTTAGGGGAGGACCCAGGAGGGACTACGCCTCTCAGCTGGTCTGGGAGCGCCACAGATTTCCCCAGAGAACCATTCTTAACAATCAGATATGAGAGCAACTGACTCATTTATTATTCACCAAAGAGTCGCATAAACTTAAAACAAAAGTGGATAGAAGCAAAGTGTTTCTATGAATAATCGTATATAGGAGACTTTAGATAAAGGCCACTATGTTCAGATATTAATATTTTGGCTGATATCGGGGCCACTTCTACATCAGTATTAGATCAGGACATCATTTCCTAGCAGTAACCAGACAAACATCAGCTTCTATGACCACCTTCTTAGTCCTCCTCATCTTCATCAGCTCTTGCGTTTTCCGCGTTATCAATTTCAACGCACTCTCTTTCAAACTGAAAAGGTGATGTTAGTGAAGTTTTGGCTGGAAACAAGCCCTGCTGGACCTAGCGTACGTCATTTACCCACAATACATTGCAACATAAACATCATGGCAAAATCCGTGGGATTATGCTTTATTTAAATCTATTTAAAGGAAAAATCTTTCTCAAATAGTCTGTTGTCACAACTAACCATGGATCCCTTGAATGCTTTTTAACAGACCTTGACCATGGTTGGCTGTACACAGGATGTGCTTCATTGCTGTGAACACCCCTGTTTTTATCAACCAGCTAAATTCAACGTTTGCAGGGAGAGTTCAGGTGTTCTCTATTGGGATTCAACGTGTCAGTCAAACACATGTCGTCCCCAGAGACACGGGCCAGAGCAGCTCCGACTGTCTGCCTATCTAACAGTTTGTCCCTCTGCATGGGGCTGTTTGAGGCAGGAAATAGCAACACGGGCTATTAAGTCATGCCCCAGAGGAGCGCGACATGACCCTGGAAGCAGCAGTTCCTCCTGTGATGAAACATTTACTTTTTCATTTGTTTTTTGTTTTTAATTTCCCTCTTTCCCTAAAACGGTTCCCTTTTGTCTCGCACTGCAGATGTGTTTGGAGCTGATCGTTTCTTTTCTGTTTAGACTGCATATGATCTTATTTCCTATGAAGAGCTCAGTGTGTGGATTATAATGATGTGAAAATATTAGCACATCCCTCTAATTCGGTTGTTGATATAGAACTGTTCAGACACACATACGCATCTGATCTAATTTTATCTCTACAAAACGATGTAGACTTTGACTGCATATTTTTGTTGTAATAATCAAGCAGAAAATGTAGACAAAAATGTTTTCTATTAACCAAGTTGGTGATCTCCTTATAGATAGTGCTGTTAGCTATCTTCAGTGCTTATTAAAGCCATCTACCAGAAAACCATGCAAAAAAGTTTGCTGCAGTCTTTATTATCAGATGTAAGATGTTTGAGGAGTATCTCACATGATCATAATGTTTTACGTGACCCCGTAAGATGTCGCAGGAGACCACCTGTCTTTGGTAGATTTACGGGTATGCGTTTTCTCCATTATCAGGTCAGTGTCCATTTCTGCTTCATCTTGATGTTCTTTATGTTTTCTTCAATGCTGTAGAATTCATAGAGGGTTCTGTAATGGTGAGCAGTCTAGGCCCTGTTTTTGCAGAGCTGAAACAAACCCGGATACTTCAAGTTTTATGCTTAACTGTGAGTTATGGGATTATTTTTCCAAAATGATTGCTCATTTGTCCCAATAATTCATTGCTGGACTCTGTTTAAAATCCTTTATTCCAGAATATTATTCATTCCCCCTTTCTGTATTTCATGGAGAGCAGAGGCTTTCTCCTTCACCGTGTCCCATAGAAGTTAAAAATGTTTCACTCTCTCTCTGATTCATAGGTCCGGTAATTAGATTTGAGATTTTGTTAAAGTATCTTATTCCACCTTTCAGTCTGTTGCTTTTGCATGCTAAAAATGCTTGGTGGGAATCCATGGCAATGTTGTTTTGATTGTCTTTAACGTATAGACTCTTTTATGTAAGCTAGAGTAGCTGATGTCACCTTCTTGGAGATAAATCCCTTATCACAGTCTACTAACACTACTAACCTTTTTTAGGAGGTTCCAGACAGATGTTTCCTTTTTATCTTGGTTTTCCACAGACCGGAACACAGTGAGATGAATGTCTGGCGCTAAAACAGGGCAAACGGTCCAAAAAAGGTTGACTTATGATGATTTAATACCTCTGACGAGATATATTTGTTTGAATTTTAATTTGGAATACATTTTAAGCTTGTTACCTTATTTATTTCCCAGTTTAAAACCTTAAAAGGGATTTTTTTTCTCACCACCCTTAAGTTTTTTTTGTTGTGTTCATTGTATTGTTGTTGAAGTAATATGCTTTGAGTACAAGAAATTGGGAAAAAAGTTAGAATAATGACTTTATATCTACACCACATAAGTTGTATTTTTTCTTCACTTGACAGTACAAATGAAAACTTACATCTAGTAATTCATGATTAATTAAACACGATGATATGTTGCTGGTGTTTATTGCTCCTTTTTTTATTTTTTTATTTTTTGCTATAAGCTTATATAAGGATTCTTGGTTGCTGTTTTCTGTCCACTCAACATTCCATTCATAGGCCAACTCTGGAAATGGCAAGCTTCTTTAGCACACAGCTTTAGTGACGTAACAAACCCTGACAGTTTACATTTAGTGATATGAGTCTTATTAAAATTACTCTGATAAAGTAATTGTTCCATTTAATTAAGCATCTACAGTTTTTAAAGCCCTGAAGGTACTGAAGATATGAGACACTCCTTATGTTCCCTTTGAGATTTAAACAGGCTGTAAAATATTTACACATCACTGAATACAAACACCCCTGTGTAAAGAACAGGAGCAGAGATTTCACCTCTGTTGAATATTTCATAACTTGGATGTTTGGTTGTGATGTTGTAATGTTTTTCCCCCTCAGGAAGGAAGAGCCACTGTTAACCAGGACACCAGACTGGACAACAGAGTGATTGATCTAAGGGTAAGATGCTACTAGGAATTTTTCAAGGTATCGTTTCGTCGATACAATGTTGAAAGTGACTCTTGGTAAAGAAAAATGAAAGCGCACGAGTTACATGCCTACTAGGAGATGGCATGCAGTTTCATTTACAGGGAAATATTCCAGCTACTCGATTTAAAACGAATCTTTTACATTCCATCGTCTGAATCTGGAAACATGTAGGTTAAGCTTAGACCGCCATAGTGGTAAAGGGTGGTGTTTTACATCAAACAGGTAGCAAACTACCCACTAATATCCAAACGTCTGCGCAAACCTCCGCACCTCAGAAGTGAAAACATTCATCTGTGATTTTAAACACTGCTATGCGTAGGAGATGTGCTACATCTATATGAGCAGCGTTAAACACACAGCCGCCAAGCCTCTCATTGTTTTGATATGTATGGGTGATACGGCTGGCAGGAAGGCAGCAACACCACAGCACAGAGCCACGCTGCTGTAAAGCTTCACAACAACACCTGCCTCTGTAACACTCGGAGCTCACAGACGAGGGTCTGTCACCACTTGTACACATAAGAGGCCAGTAAAGCTATAAAGTGGTTCCCACTCTGCTAGACAAACACTCGACGAGGGAACAATATAGCTCCTCTAAGAATAGTTTAGACGCTATGAAACTTCTCTCATGTGATACTTTAACATCAGGTGCTTCTCATGCTAATAAACAGACGGTTTACTTGCGTTAGCTCGGTTAGTGGAATAAGCTTATGCCTAAAAACTGTTAAAAGTTGGTTTAAACTAAAAGATGTATACATAAATGTACAAATATTTTAGCTTGACTTGAATTTAGGCACATTTTCAAAATGTGTTGTCAGTGGTTGCACTTCCCTTCTGTTTCCACTGCATCTACCAACGTAAAAACCTTTCACATGTTTAAAAAAAATCACAGCAGAAAAGAGGTAAGTAGGAAGGTGTGACTTTCACTATTACCCTTAACTTTGACGGTGGAGATGTAGACACTAATCATTTTGGATGTTTCAAACAGGAAGTTTTATTCTGAACTCTTTTGTTAATGTTTTCTGTTAACGTTAAACATTACATATTCTGGCTATAAACTATCCGCAGAGAAAGAAAAGGTGAATCCTTTTCAGCATTTATATTGGAGGTAAAAGAACAAAGTACCTCAAACCCCTCTGAATGTCGATCATTAACATATTTTATATGCTTTAAAATATGTGCAGTCAGTGTCATGCTGGCATCCTCTTTTTAAACATCTGTTGTTGTTTTTTTGTTGAAGTTTGGAAACATTTCAATGCCAACTGCTGCGTAAAATCTGAGGTCGAGGATGTTGAATATCACCCTACATTCCTGAGCAGAGTTAACATCACATTTAACTTTGGAAAAAATGAAAGCAAAGAAAACACTTACACTTGTTTATAGTTACACATTAGAAAATGAAACGGACTGACAATACATTTGATATAGGATAGAGACTGAATGGATTTTGATTATAGTTTTATTAGTGACAATTAGGACTTTATTTTTGTGAGGTCAGCATTTTTCCTCTCATCCCTACTACACAGCAAATCAACTCTCTAAAAAAGCAGATGTTATTTTGTTGAATACCATTTGCGGTAGTGCAAACAGTCATGACCTGAGAGGGCCTGAAGGTTCAGGGTAGGAAAAAAATGGAAATGAATTTTATTTTTATTCAAACTACAGCACAACAATTGTAGAGTAAAAAAAATTAATTAATAAACCTGATCTGCTCTCTGTGGTGGACCCTAACGGCTGGGTTAGGTACTGCAGGCAATATATTCAAATTAATTGTACAGTAGCAGCAGAAACTGTTAGTCTCTACAAAATTAGGCCATTTTAATGATAGGACAGATTTTAAATGATTATATAATCAACATGATAACATTCATTGTTGTAAAGCAGAGAAATCCAAAAAATTTTAAATCAATTGAGTTAATATAATGACCTCTTATAACTGAAGTAAATAAAACATGTGAACGATTGAATCCAAGTCAATGAGTAGATGCAATCAACTGGTTTTCCTTAGATGGAAAACTTTAAATCAATTTGATTGTATGATCTGGTGAACTGTAAAGTGCCTTCAGATGAGGTGTTGTGATTTGGCGCTATGTAAATAAACTGAATTGAATTGAACATTCATGATATAAGAAACCCCTAGTTGGTTGGGTAAACTGGGTACCAAGTTAACATTGTCCTTATGGTTAAAACAAAAACTTGAAAATAATAAAACATGTTTTTTTTTAACCAGTTTAACAAAGAGAATATTATGATGATCAGAAAATCTCCAAAACTGCAGCTTTTCAAGGTGATAACAGTCTGCAGGGGTCGGGATCTCTGAAAAGCAAAAACCGGATTGAATTGGAAGCGAGGTCATTCAAGGACAAGGCCCATTGATGCATTTAGGCTACAATGTGTCAGCTGAGCTATTGTGGCACACACTGCTGAGGAAGTTGGTTCTGTTAGGTGTCCAAATACACTGCAGCAGTTTGTTGCACACTGGGGTGCTTGGTCCATGACCTATTAAGGTGTCCATCATCGCGGTAATATTGTAATGCATTATTGGTACAGAAATTAGAGGCAAAGGTTGAGTCATTTTTACATTTTCCAGTCATTCAGATGTTATCAACTTGTGCCTGCCTCTCTGTTTCATAAGCAGGGCTGTCTGATGGTTTGAGAGTTGCATCATCATTTTCTATGGAAAGAATCATTTTAAACATTGATGATTACACTGGCCTGCTTTTGGTTCATCAGCCCTATATACAATAGGAGGTAAGCTATCCGGCCTGCATACAATCGCACACATTTTTTCATTTTACAAAGTTGTATCTTTAGGACAATATCATAATGCCCTCCTGAAACTGTCTCGGCTTTATTGAGCAAGTTTCACCAAATGTATTGGCAGAGAGAACGTTTATGCACAATATTTAACATAAACAATCAGCAAATATATACCACATCGCAAACAGGTCTTTATGATAATGTGATTTAATAAAAAAAAGAAAAAATCATGAATTTGTAATAATTTCTGCACTAATACTTTCTATTGGTTCAGGTTTTTTTGTATTTATATTGCAGCAGTCCTAACATCAGATCATATCTGATTTGCACATTTTATTGTTGAATCTTTTGCAATTTTCTGGAGTTTATTTTATAATCTCTGGAAAATATTTCACATTTCAAGTTAAAAGCAGAACATCACTGGCTAAACTGTAGACATTTTTTCTTCAATTAAATCCCAGTAATTGACAATAGATCTAATATTTTTCATACTTTTTTCTCTTTGTTTAGAATTATAAGTGTAAAAATTCCCAGAAGATGACTTCTATCCCCTTGCTAGACTGAAATGCAGCGTGCAACCTGGGATTGAAACCCTACTCAAGCAGAAATCGAGATTCTGGACTTTGAAACCAGTTTGTGGTATCTCATCACCACAGCTGGGTTTCTAACTGGTAGAGTGTACCTCAGGTGTATCTAGTGTCTAAGTAACCGCAGCATCAAAAGAACTCATTGCCAAGTTTTCCTACTTCTCCCCGATCACATCTACTCCCTTCAGACGGTGTAAACAGGAAGCGCTTTCGAAGGTTTCGAACGTAGCCTCATTCAGACGGCATTTGTCGTTCGTTTTCACAGGCTGAACGAAGCGCTCAGCACAAAGGATGACGCACAGCAGTAATGAGTCATGGGGGCTCTGGGTTGCAGCTTTGCAAAGGTGTTTGTAGAAGTCTCAGGAAAGTTTTATATCATTTTCACTTCTTCATTTTACCAATTGTTCTGGTTGCAGCTTCAGATTTCAGTCAGACATCCCTGAAGCATTCCCTGGTAGAGAAGCAAGTTGGCAAATATTTGCATGCTATCTCTTTCTCCCTTTGAGTCAAAATTAGGTCATGAGGTCTATTCGGTTGCGGCCCCTCAGTAGGGGGATGTAGGGATGAAACAGGGCAGTACCAGTTTCTTAATGAAATGTAATAACTGTAGTCCTGGGCCAGTAAACGGGAGATGTTTGTGGCCTTCTAAGATGAGTCAAAACATTTAAGGGAGTGCACCTTTAACGTTTCTGTCTGCTCTTTTTACGTGACTGTTACACATTTGGTTTTGGGGTTTAATTTTAACTGTAATCAGCCCTGCCTTGCTATCAGCGTTTACATTGGTAATGATAGGTTTGGGTTCCCGGAGCTCCTGCAGGGCTCTCATGCCGGCCTCGCCCTTGCCAACAAATAAATGTTTCAACCTTTTCTCAGACAGGAGGTGCAAAACGAAGAAAAACTGGCAGTCTTGTTTTTGCACATCTGTTATGATTGGGTAATGAGTCCAATGAATCACTCCATGTGTGGTAACGCTGCTCTGCTTGTGGCTCAATGTTTTATACGTGTGTATGTGTGTGTGTTTCCTCCCAAAGACGACCACCAGCCAGGCCATCTTCCGGCTGCAGTCAGGAGTCTGTCAGCTCTTCAGAGACACGCTCACCAAAAAGGGTTTTGTGGAGATCCAGACCCCCAAAATAATATCTGGTAAAACAGTTTTCTTATCTTCCCCCAGTTATATTTTTTTATAGCTATCTGAGCGGAGGCACCCTTGTTTTCATCCTACCACCTGCAGGTGGGCCTGTGACTCATGGTGTGAAAGTTGCAAAGCACGCTTCCTCTACTGGACAACAAATTTAGCTTAAAAAAAAAACAAAACATAAAGTTTATCAAAAAAAACAGCTTTCCAAACAGCAAAAGCATCTGAAAAAAAACCCAAATGTTAATTATTTTAAACTAAGATTTAGCTTTTTTGCTTTGACTGAAACAGCAAATTGTTTTTGGACAGGGAAACTTTCTAAAGAAAACTCCTTTAACTTTTCTTTACAGCAAAACAAAAAGGAGAAACCTGAAATTCCTCTCCATTATTCAGAAAGCAGATGTTTTTGGGCTTTTCACTGAATTGTTTTATTCCCTACCCCATTTTTTTTTCTTGTTTTTACAGTCTAAAACAAAAAGAGACTACATTTTAGTAGAAATATGAACCAAAGCTGCTTAAATCTTAGATATCAAAACTATAGCCTTTAGAAAAATTCACAACGGTGAACACCGAGGAACACAAAAGATATGTCAGGGATCGAGTTGTAGAGGAGTTTAAGGCTGCGAAAAAATTGATTGGCTCCTGATCTGAAAATAGAGCAATGTTCAGATGAGCAGCCAAAAAGGCCAATGGTAGCTCCAGAGGACTTACAAAAATCCATGGCTTAGATGGGAGAATGTGGCCTCTGTGTTTCCATGCACTCTTTCGCTCAGCTGTTACACATTTCTGTTTTGAGAGTTCATTTTTAACAGCGATCTGCCCTGCTTGGCTCTCAGCAGTCGCCAGAGCAATCCACTCTAACAAAGCCAAAAAGATAAAGCAAGCATGTGGAAGAAGGTGCTTGGCTAGATGAGGCCAAAATGATTGAATGCAAGTACAGAGAAATACTGGAGGGGAACAATTTGAGGGGCTACTGAAGGCCAGATACTGAAAAACAGGAATCCTAAACCTACAGGCAAAGCTGGAGGGTAATGAGGTTAATTAGTGTTATTAATCAGTTAGAAAAAATCTAAGTTAATCCATTTACAAGATGAATTTTAAAGCATCCAACCTCATTCATTGATATTTTTCATGCATTTCTTTTTAAGTTTAACAAAAAGACTTTTATTTCATAATATAATGCAAAAAAAGAGAAGCACTTCCTGAGCTTTTCCTAAAATTAGTTTGGTCTCTCCTGTTTGCATTTCCTCAGCATAAAGCTCCTAAATTCTAATAAACATTTCAACTTGGGCTAAAGCTAATAAAACCTGAGGTAGAGGCAGCTACAATGATGTATGAAAAAAACCCAAAACGTGTTCCATAACAGGGCAGTGTCTCTACCTAAATGCTCACGTGGTTTTCAAATTTGAAATTAACTGCTTTGCGCCTACTTCTTCTTTTTGTTCTGTGAAAGCCAATCGTCGTTTCTTCACACGATTTAAAAACTGCCGCCTTTTACTTTTGGCGGCATCTGTCAAAAAACATGGTGTGCTATCTGCCAAACCGCATCTTCCTGCCTGGCTACACCCATCACACACGCAGTGTACAGTTTGTGCTGTATGAGAAACCCCCCCACCCTATTTTCTCTTTCTGCGGCGCGACAATAACAGATAGTGCCCTTGATGACGACTGTGAGGAACAGAGAGCTGCAGATGTGTTTTGCATGGCTTGCTGTTATGTAATCTTTAATGTTACAGTTTTGAACAAAAATACTCATATAGTGCAGGTTAGAAATGATTTTGTACTGTTATGGCAGATTATGATATTTTTAAATACTGAGTAATACAGTGATTTTTTTTTTGTGTGGCTACTTTCTCTTTTAAAAGTGATCCTGAAGTGTTTTTGTTTTTTTTGTTTTTTATATTAGCTGCTTTTTTTTCCATTCCCCACCGTTGTGCATGACCAAGAAGTCATGCCTTTCCTTACATGACTTTAGGAATTCCCTTTTTTTTGAGCTAAAATATGTTTTTTTTTTGTGCAATTTTATGCTTTAACTCAACCTAAAAATGTTGAAGCACTTAATTTTTTTCTTTTTATATCTTGTAAAGTGCTTATACTTACATTAGGCCAGTTTATGACTAATATGTTTGTGTTTTATTCTGATTTCCTTGTAGTTAATCTTGATATTGGTGTCGGATCATCTTTTTAATGCCGTTCGTCTTTGATAGACTTGGAGGTGGGAATATTTCAAGGCCTCTGAGTTACTATCTTCCATTGTTGTTGAAGGGTTAATATTCCATCACATCTTCCTTTCATTTTATACCTGGAAACAACAGAATCGGGAAAATGAGTTTACAGATTCACAAATTAGCAGCTTATCTTTAATAGTCTTTGAAGGAAATTCAACATTTCCATCCAAAATCCATCGTCTGATCAAAGGGGCAGATGCATCTCGGCATAATTAGCTACTATAATCTGCTTTTTGTTCAACGTTGAGTTAAAATGGTTTCCATTTGAGCGAAGATGAATTAATGGAAACCTTTTTTAGTTGGTGCTCAGTAGTTCAACAGAACCAGTAATCGTTCCAACACTTTGGGGAAATATTAAGCCGCTTTATTCTGACATAAACTGAAGGTAGTTGCCACCAAATGGCCTTGAGAACCAGGCTGTTACCATAAAACGCGTGGCTTTGTATTTAATATTGGTATGAAATGATCACATTTACATTTCATAATCTTTGCCAATGCTTTGAAGATGCCAAATAGCTAATTTAAAAGGCCAACTGATAATTTTTGCCCACATGAACACTGGTCCATCCCTTGAGTTCCAGAGCCTTTTTATGACTTTATGATTTATTTATTAGTACTAAGTGGACAGCCAACAGTGTAACCCAGAAATCAGACTTTTTCATATTCAAATTTGTGTTGTTGTTGAGCGTTAGTTAAAACCTGTGTGAAAGTGTGAAAGTGGCTTGTATTTTTTTTTTTCATGTGGGCTCGTTCAAACCAGAAGAGCCCACAATAGCACGCTCACCACAAAGCACGGTTTTGGTCCCCCTTCTATTGACATCAATCGTGGAAGGGCGCCAACTTTAGCCCGCCTTGCTATCACCACTTCCTTCTCTGTTCCACCGACAATCAAGGACTCGGTTAAAGGTAGTCAGAAAGCATTGCTGCTTGCGTAACTAAAACCATGGCTAACTGCCGATGTTGCTTAGGTTACATCCTCATGAACATGTATATACATGCGATATTTTCAAACGTTAAGAAACCTCCAAATTAGATGTGGTTATTTTTAAATAGGACAAAACATGAAAACAATTTCAAAAGTATAGTTTATGGGGAAAAAACGGGTTATGACTCCATTCAATCTCCTTCCATGAACCATTTTATTTATAAAACAGAACAGAATTGGTCAATATTTCAGACCAATCACTTCTATGTTATCCTGCCAATATGTTTTATTTTCTTTCAGTCAGGCTTTGTGTCGTATCAGCTTTGTCAATATCTTTTTTAACATAACATCTGTGATGTTGTAGGCAGAAAAAAGCTCTTCAGAATTAATAGTATTTCCCCTCAGTGCTTCTCGAAGCCTTGGAAAGGCTCCAAACTCTGACATTTTTGGAGATAAATCACACATTTACCAAGACCACTAAAAGCCTTTATCATGACAGTAAGATAAAATTATCATTATCAGATTGGTTGCCTGAGACTCAGAAAAGGATGAAAGTAAACCTGTATTTTTCTCTGCTAGTTTAGAAACCATAGTTAATTCAATTCTGACTTTAGAGATTTTAAACTTTTGTTTTCCCTGACTTTACCTAAATATAATTTACTTTGATTCTGAGACCTTAAAGCTACAGTGTGTAATAATTAGCGACATCTAACGTCCAGACTGCAGACCGCAGCA